TCCCTGGGGTTTTACTGCCCTTATTTAATAGCAATTCACATCTAAAAACAAAATAATTACAGTCGAATCTGTGCCTACCTGAGGAAAACAAAAGCATATAAAACACTAAAGATAAAATTTCCATTAGATTTCACTGACTACAGACTACTTTATGTGGACATGTAGCGGTAAGCCTGAACTCTTTTTTTCTTTTCTTCTTCTTCTTCTTCTTCTTCTTCTTCTTCTTCTTCTTCTTCTTCTCCTCCTCCTCCTCCTCCTCCTCCTCCTCCTCCTCCTCCTCCTCCTCCCCTCCTCCTCCACCTCCTCCTCTTCCTCCTTCTTCTTTTTTTATGAGACACGGTTTCTCTGTGTAGCCTTGGCTGTACTGAACTCACTTTGTAGACCAGGCTGGCCTCTGACTCACAGATAACTGCCTGCCTCTGCCTCCCAGTGTTGGGATTAAAGGCCTGCACTATAATCATCTGGCTTTTCTTGCTGGAAGGATCTGCCTGAACTTCAGTGTCAAGATTCTCTGAAAATACCAGAGATGTCTAAGATCTCAGTCTAAATTGAGCTATCCTCAAAGTAATCTCACTTTCCTCTGTTCTCCCTACTATGTGAAATTAGATATTTGTAAAATTATGATAATGATTCTATTGGTAAAATAATTGATTTCATACTACTGAAAGTGAGCACAGAGGGAATTCGAAAACACAAGAGCATGTGATCATACTCACTTATCAATGTGCTATTTTAATTTTTCTTTTTTTATGTTTTATGTGTTTGAATGATTTTCCTGCATGTATGTCTGCATACCACATCCATGCATAGTGTCTCTGCAGGCCAGAAGAGGATATCAGATCCCCCAAAATTAACATGACAGTTGTTTGTGAGACACCATGTAAGTGCTAGGAATGAAACACGGGTCCTCCAGAAAAGCAGCCAGTGCTCTTAACTGCTGAATCGTAAATCCTTCCACCACAATGTCATAATACAGAGACATTACTGGGTGAGTCCAGAGACTAGAAGGTACAGAGTTACACCAGGATAGGAAATACATAAGTACTTGTCCTGTGATGTTAGAGAACAAACGTTTAGGAAGTGTCACGACATTTGTCAAGCTAGTGTTTGTATCTTTCAATTATATAGAACAACTAAGAAAAATGAGAGTTTTACTTTATTTTGTTAATTATTTTGCTTACATTCATGTATGTTGGACAATGGCCAAGACAGTCAGTGAATTGGGTGTGTTGTAAGGTTCAGTTTTACCATAAATCCCAAGGAAAGGAAAATAGACAAATCACACATATGCTACAAGTGGATAATATAACAGAGAAATCTGACTTGACAAGGGGAAGATGAAAGTACTGTTAAAGGAGAAATTTAGAGAAGTTTCTAGTATTTTTATTTACTATAATTACAAGTGATGGATTATGCAGAACAATATGATAAGGTTCCTCTTCTTTCTTGTTAGAAATAATCTGCTTCAAGATCTGCTAAGTCTATTCATTTCTCATTTTAATATATTTGTTGTATTTTTTCTTTTCTTATTTTTGGTTGTTGTTCTTTCTTTATTTTTTTTCATGTCTATGGGTTGCATATCCATAGAGATGAGGTTTTAATATCATGAATAACTCCAAATTACTCTTCTGCTTAACTTGTTGAAGCCTGATTTCAGGATCAAACCCAGATTCAGGGAGATGGCAGCTTGATGTAGATCCTGTCTCCATCTTTGGCAGATGATTCATAGAAAGGCCTCCACACCCATATTGCATTTACTTGGATTTATAGAGATGTGACTCTTGGTTTTCAAGCTGGCATGCTGCAGGCTGAAAGCTGTGAAAATTTAATCATGGAACCATCTCTCTAGGTGTCCAGCATTATAGCCTGTGGATTTTGCAATAAAAGACTGAAAACTTCTTTTGAAAAAGAACTAAAAAAAAAAACAAACCTGAAAATAAAATTTGTGCATTTAAAGCTTTTTGTTTTGATAAAAATGAAGAAAGTAATATAGAAACACAAAATATTTTTAAGTTTATAATAAAATCTCACTTTTAACTCAAAAAATGCAAAGATATAATTTCCCTACAATGCATGCATCTCAAAACATTGCTGAAATGTAGTGGAATCTAGTAAAATATATCTCATGTCATGGGTGCATTTTAGTCACAAACCAGTCCTTTTTTAATGTTGAAAATCTCATGCTTAGTTAAAAGGCAAATTTATGGTAAATGACTGTTTAAAAGAACATATAAATATGTCCACCCATCTCATCAAGCGAACATAAAAAAGGTGGACTTGAAGAAGCAAATTCAGCAAACATATGAAATTTGTTTCATCTACACATGAAGAGCAAATTAAAACAGAAAATTCAAATACTACAAGCACAGAATTTCTTCTCTTAGGATTTTCTGATGTCCCCCATCTCCAGTGGATGCTGTTTGGGATATTTTTGTTCATATATTTGTCTATTCTGATCTGCAACAGCATTATAATACTAATAACAAGAATTGACCCTGCTCTGCAGACCCCTATGTACTTCTTCCTTTCAACTTCTCTTTTGTGGAAATCTGCTATGTAGCAGTCACCATCCCAAGGATGCTTATGGACCTATGTACCAAAAAAGGGACTATTTCCTTGTTGTCCTCTGCTGTACAACTCTGTTTTGTCATCATGCTTGGAGGCATGGAGTTCCTCCTCCTGACAGTCATGGCCTATGACCGTTATGTGGCGATCTTCAATCCTCTGCACTATCCCTTGGTCATGAGCAAGAAGCTCTGTGTGCAGCTAGTGGCTGCTTGCTGGATTTGTATCATTCCAGTTGTGACTGGACAAACTTACAAATTTTCTCTTTGTGTTATTGTGGATCTAATGAAATTAATCACTTTTTCTGTGATATTCTCCCTCTACTGAAACTTGCTTGTGGAGACACATTTGTGAATGATTTAGCAATCTATATTGCTTCAGTGGTGTTTATCATGGTTCCATTTCTGCTGATCATTGTCTCCTATGGCAAGATTATCTGGAACATTCTGAAATTGTCATCAGCTGGAGGAAGATCTAAAGCCTTCTCCACCTACTCATCTCATCTGATAGTTGTGGTTTTATTCTATGGAACAGCTACTATCACATATGTGCAACCAAAAGCATATCAATCAGAAAGCTTGGGAAAGTTGCTGTCTCTTTTCTACACTATTTTGATCCCACTGTTGAATCCTATTATATATACACTGAGGAATAAGGACATCATGGTAGCACTGAGAAAATTACAAACTAAGTTATCAACATAGGGGAACACTTAAAATTATAAAAATATTTTTGTATGTTTTACATGTAGGTAGAGCACAGCAGAATTGTAAACTTTATTTCTGCACTATTCAATTATTGTACTTCATGTCAAGTGACCTTTGTTGGACTAAGTTTCATTAAGAGACCCTATAGTAACACAGAAAGAAATTAAAACAATCTTTCCTTTTTGGAGTCAACATTGAAGCACCAGGGAGTAGGGCATAATGAGCTTCTCCCATGAGGAGCTTATTTGCAATTGATATGTTATTAGAGAGATAAAAACCAGTTTTCTTTTTATTTTAAATTTAATTTTATTTATATATTTATTTCAATTTATTCACTTTGTATTCCCGCTGCACCCCCTCCCTCATCTCCTCCCAGTCCCACCCACCCTTCCTCTTCTCCCCCTATACCTTTCGCTAGTTCCCTGATAGGGGAGGACCTCCTCCCCTTCTATCTGACCCTAGCTTATCATCAAGGCTGGCTGCATCATCTTTCTCTATGGCCTGACAAGGCTGCACCCCCCCCCCCACCAGGGGGAGGTGATCAGAAAGCCTACCACTGAGTTCAAGTCAGAAATAACCCTGTATCCATTACTAGAGAACCCACTGGAAATTGAGCAGCCAGTGGAGGTAAAGGTTATCGCCATGCATGGCATGGTCCTTAGTGGAGGAGCCTAGGGAAGATGCTTAAAACCAAGTGTCTCTATGCCAGTACCATGCAGTTTTTATAACTGTTGCTCTATAGTACAGCTTGAGATCAGGGATGGAGATACCTCCAGAAGATCTTTTATTATAGAGGATTGTTTTAGCAATTTTCGGTTTCTTGTTATTCCATACAAAGTTGAGAATTTTTCTTTCCAGGTCTGTAAAGAATTGTGTTGGCAATTTGATGGGAATTGCATTAAATCTGTAGATTGCTTTTGGTAAGATGGCCATTTTTACTATGTTAATCCTGCCAAGCCATGAGCAGGAGATCTTTCCATCTTCTCATATCTTCCTCTAATTCTTTCTTCAGAGACTTGAAATTTTTTTCATACAAGTCTTTGACTTCCTTGGTTAGGGTTACGCCAAGGTACTTTATGTCATTTGTGGCTATTGTGAATGGTGTTGTTTCTCTAATTTCTTTCTCAGCCCTTTTGTCTTTTGTATACAGGAGTGCTACTGATTTTTTTGAGTTAATTTTGTATCCGACCACTTTGCTGAAGGTGTTTATCAGCTGTAGGAGTTCCCTGGTAGAGTTTTTGGGGTCACTCATGTATACTATCATATCATCTGCAAATAGTGACAATTTGACTTCATCCTTTCCAATCTGTATCCCCTTGATCTCCTTCAACTGTCTTATTGCTCTAGCAAGGACTTCCAGCACTATGTTGAAGAGATATGGAGAGAGTGGGCAGCCTTGTCTTGTCCCTGATTTCAGTGGGATTGCTTTAAGTTTCTCTCCGTTCAGTTTGATGTTGGCTATAGGCTTGCTGTATATTGCCTTTACTATGTTTAGATATGTGCCTTGTATCCCTGATCTCTCCAGTACTTTAAACATGAATGGATATTGGATTTTGGCATAGAAACAGAATGGTGGATCAATGGAATCGAACAGAAGACCCAGAAATAAACCCACACACTTACGGACACCTGATTTTTGACAAAGATGCCAAAACCATACAATGGAAAAAAGATAGCATCTTCAACAAATGGTACTGCTCCAACTGGATGTCTACATGTAGAAAAATGAAAATAGATCCATACTTATCACCCTGCACAAAACTGAAGTCCAAGTGGATCAAAGACCTCAACATAAAACCAGACACATTAAATCGGCTAGAAAAAAAAAGTGGGGAATACCCTAGAACTCATTGGTACAGGAGAAACAGCACAGGCTCTAAGAGCAACAATCAATAAATGGGACCTCATAAAATTGAAAAGTTTCTGTAAAGCAAAGGACACCATCATCAAAACAAAGCGACTGCCTACAGATTGGGAAAGAATCATCACCAACCCTTTATCTGACAGAGGACTCATATCCAATATATATAAAGAACTAACCAAGCTGAAAAGCAATAAACCAAGTAATCCACTTAAAAAATGGGGAACAGAGCTAAAGAGAGAATTCTCTGTAGAGGAATATCGAATGGCAGAGAAGCACTTAAAGAAATGCTCAACCTCATTAGCCATTAGGGAAATGCAAATCAAAACAACCCTGAGATTTCACCTTACACCCATCAGAATGGCCAAGATGAAAATCTCAAGGGACAACACATGCTGGAGAGGTTGTGGAGAAAGGGGAACGCTTCTCCACTGCTGGTGGGAATGTAAACTGGTACAACCACTCTGGAAATCAATCTGGCGCTTTCTCAGACAACTAGGAATAGCGCTTCCTCAAGATCCAGCCATACCACTCCTAGGCATATACCCAAAAGAGGCGCAAGTACACAACAAGGACATTTGTTCAACCATGTTTGTAGCAGCTTTATTTGTAATAGCCAGAAGCTGGAAACAACCCAGATGCCCCTCAACTGAAGAATGGATGCAGAAACTGTGGTACATCTATACAATAAAGTATTACTCAGCAATGAAAAATAAGGAAATCATGAAATTTGCAGGTAAATGTTGGGAACTGGGAAGGATCATCCTGAGTGAGTTGTCCCAGAAGCAAAAAGACACGCATGGTATATACTCACTCATATAAACATACAACATAGAATAAACCCACTAAAATCTGTACATCTAAACAAACTAAGCAAAAGAGAGGACCCTAAGTAAAATGTTCAATCCCCATCCTGAAAGGCAAAGAGGATGAACATCAGAAGAAAAAGAACATAGGAAACAACCTCGGAACCTGCTACAGAGGGCCTCTGAAAGCCAGAAGAAAACAGGAAACAACCTTGAAACCTGCCACAGAGGGCCTCTGAAAGCTTCTGCAGTATAGACTGTCAAAGCAGATGCTGAGCCTGATGGCCAACTGATGGGCAGAGTGAATGGAATTTTATGTAAGAAGTGGGAAATAGTAAGACCTGGAGGGGACGGGAACTCCACAAGGAGAGCATAGAACAAGATAATTTGAACACAGGGAACTTCCCAGAGACTCATACTCCAACCAAGGACTATTCGTGGAGATGACCTGGAACCCCTGCACAGGTGTAGCCCATGGCAGTTCAGTGTCCAAGTGGGTTACATAGTAATGGGAAGAGGGACTGCCTCTGACATAATCTGATTGGCCTGCTCGTTGATCACTCCCCCCTGAGTGGGGAGCAGCCTTACCAGGCCACAGTAGAGGACAATGCAGCCACTTTTGATGAGAACTGATAGACTAAAATCAGAAAGAAGAGGAGAACCTCCCCTATCAGTGGACTTGGGGAGTGGCATGCATGCAGAAAGGGGAGGGAGGGTGGGATCAGGAGGGGAGGAGGGAGGGGCTTATGGGGGGATACAAAATGAATAAAGTGTAATTAATAAAAAAATCCTCAAAACTATAAAAAACAAACAAACAAACAAAAAAAAAAAAAACCCAAGTGTCTCTAATGGTGTAGTGGACCCAGATGGTTTTACCCAAGCTGCAGTAGATGGTCCTCTTCCAAGAAGCACAAATTTGGCTTCATGGGCTTAAAAATTAAAGGTTGCTAAGTTGATGACAGCATAAAATAGGAATAGATCTTTAAGAAGTTAGAGGAGTTAAGTGCTGAATATGATAAAAATATATTGTATAAAATTACCAAATAATTATATAAAATGTGTTTAATGTATGCATTTGTGCTGTGTATATTTCTGAGTGGCAACTCACTTCCCAACTCTTGTTGATTGGGTAGAATAAATAATTATTCTTTTTGTGTTAATTAATACAGAAAATTATTTTGGCAGTAGTTTTCTTTAGTCAGCTAGTTCCCCAGTGACTGACACAGACAGACTGCGATTTATTATTCTGCTGTTGGAATGATGGTGGGCACATTCTGAGTTATTCTAATCCTACTGTCCTCAAATCACACATAAAGCCTGTCACTTGCTAATGTGGTGACTCCTGGGTGCCTTGTGATCCATCAGTACATGCTCATTGGCCATCTTGCTTCATGGAGAGTCTTTTTTCTCCAGCTTCCTCTCCTTCTGCTACCTCTTCTCCTCTGCCATAAAC